GTTGTTGCGCACAAACCAGAATTTGTCAAGACCTTCTTACAGCCCCAAGTCCAAAAATTTAAAAGACTACCCTTCATGAGTTTTTATCTAGTTTATATTTGTTCTGCTACTGTTAGGCAGAAGAACCAAAACTTCTTCCATAACTTTGTATTGGAACCCCAGTTATTATCTATGCATTCTATTCAGACTATCGTTTGTGTTTGCTTGATTATGACTGAGTTGTTCATCTTGTTAGATTTAGAATTCTGTGGTATTTGATTAATTAGCCCAAACATATGATTGCTAGGAAACTAATACCAATTGATTAGAATAGCTCTTAATACATGTGATTCAGAGTAGCTAACTAAATCCTAAACTTAGAACATAGACAACTACGATAGTAGGTTCTTTGCCTGATCATATTTGTAATTTAGCTAAGGTTGTTAAATGCATGCGACGGCTAGTCGACCAATTCTAGTGGATTTCAATTCGTTGTAACTGTCGATCGATATTGTTGCTTCACCATCGATCGACAGTCATATTTGTAGGCGATTTATTCCTCGTGTATTAGATTTACTTGGACCCTGTCCATTATAATTCACGTACCTAACCCTAGATCTGCGTATTTTCCTTATTTACATTAACTTAAACTTAAACAATTTTCGTTTTATTCAAACCTGATTTCCTATATAAGTATTTCACCTAGCTTAACCATTAGGATCTCATAAATCTATTGTGTATCTTCACTCCCATGTGGATTTGATCCCTAAGTACTTCATATGATCTCTCTTGTCAAAAGTAGTTATAAGTTGAGTTTCATTAATAAAGTGGATTAGGAATTATAACATCCTGAAACGCAACCCTGTCAAATTTGGCGCTGTTGCCGGGGAGCTTAGTTTGCCATTAGATTTATTTTCTAGGTTTAGTCTGGATTTGTTTTTATTCTTACAGTACTAATAATTCTTCTTTCTTGTTTTATAGATGCATGTCCAACAGTACCAGAAGCAAAAAGAATCAAGAGTTACTTTTCTCAGACCCAGTTGCAATCAAACGCTCAATCGGCAAGGAGAAGTGACTAGCATCAATCGACGCCCGTGATAGTTCGTTGACCGACAGTTCTTTTAGTTCCTCATTGATTGACAGCACCGACGTACCATCAATCGATGGTGAACCGTGAGTCCCAATGGTTGCTCCAACGTTTCGATAATGGATGAGAAACAAAACCTGCGTGGTCTTGAAGGTCACCTGCGTAATGCAGCATGTCAGAAGATATATGATCAGGGGGTTGTAATCCCTGAACCTGAAGTAGAAGTAGATGCTTCAATAGATCAACCTAAAGCTAATGCCCAACTTGCTCAGGTAAGGACACTGGCAGACTACAGTCATCCTGACCAGTACTACACCAACATATCCGCCATTCACCAACAGATCCATCATTCACCCTCCACCTTACTGTGGGAGGAAGCGTAAGTATCTTATGGATCATCTGGACAGGTTTGAGGATCTAGTATATGTTATTAATGCCAATGGAGTCCCTGAGGACTATCTGTTTTGCAAGCTGATATATGGTGTTTTTAGCATATTCTAACTATGTTTTCTAAAGTGTTTTTGAGTCTTTATCGAGTCTTTTTAGTCCTTTTTAAGTCATTACAGGTATGGAGTTGCTTTGGATGGAAGATGGACCAGTTGGAGAAAAAGATTGCAATTTGATGATTTTCACGAAGAACAGTCTGCAAACTGTTCCCGAGTGAGCGGAGCAGCCTGAAGCGCCTGTTCCCGCGGCAGCGATTTTTAAGGGAAATACAACATAATTCGGGATTTGCCCTAATTCTCCTATTTTTCTCTCCCAGCCGCCAGCAGCCTCCATATATCTTCTTTTCCTATTTTCTACATTATTCTACGCTACTTTTTACCAGAGAAACAACTCTAGAGCTTTTGGATTATTGTGATTTCAATACTTTGTAACTTTGAGGGAGAAGA